GGGGCGGGGAGGTTAAACCCCCCCCCGCCACTTTTTGAAAGGGGGCGAGGGTGGTCCGTCGGGACGACGGATCGGGACGGGGGGGGGGGGGGAAGGGGCGGGGGGATCCTGGGAGGACGGACTGGGGAAAGGGGTGGGATGGGGGGGTCCCAGACCTCCTCCCCCTTAGGGGTATCCAGCGGCGCCGTTTGCCGAGCCCTTCCTGGGCCCAGGCGCCGTGTATACGCCCTCCTGGCCAGGCCAGGAGGGCGTGGCGTACACACCGCTGCTGGGTTCGGGATGGGCCTTGCCAGGGAGCAGTGGATATGTACAGATGTCGTCGCCCTACCGTAGGGGGGCGCCTGTCCCAGGGCTCCAGGGACCTTTCCATCTTGGCATCGCTCGGACGTGTGCATGTTTTTCTTCAGCGGGGAGCATCAAGGAGCATCTGAAATCACCTTGCGAACAAAAACGAACGAAACCAACAGATGCACAGGGAATGTACGTCCGAGCGATGGCAAGTGATGCCCCCTTGGGCAAGTAAACACGGGCGCAGCAGGTTTCCAGAAGTCCTCGGGCAGCATCCCCACGCGCTAGAGCACGAAGATTCTACGGTGTTCCGTCGCCCGCTGGCCAAAGACCAGGGGGCCACAAAGCAATCAGAGAGCCCCGAGCCAGCCAGGATTTGGGGAGCTGTTCGGCTGCGAAATCCGAATCCTGCCTTCGCCGATCAAATATCCAGGCCATTCGACGGGCGGCGGGGGTGGGGCTCGGAATTCGCCGAACACGCGGCGAAATCCGAACCCTGCCCCCTGCCTCCCGTCGGCTCAAGAGTCGATGGCTGGTGAGGGGCAGGGTTCCGATGTGCCGCCACCCAGCCGTGTTCTTGACCGCGTGCGAGGCCTGGGTCGGGGATGGATGGTCGGCGTTTTGTTTGTCTGTCTGTCTGTCTGTCTGTCTGTTTGTTTGTCTGTCTGTCTGTCTGTCTGTCTGTCTGTTTGCTTGTTTGTTTGCTTGTTTGATTGTTTGTTCGTGTGTCTCGGCCTCGGAAGCCTGTGATGAGCTGCACCGCTGGTTCAGCAAGCTCGTCCTCAGCCGCACTTTCCTCCCCGTGCTGGCCTGTGTTCTCCGCCTGCACCCGAACCTGTACACCGCCTCCGACCAGACCCTCCTTCCCTCCGACCTCGACCGCAAGATCCTGTCCAAGCTCGCGCAGAATATCCACCCCGTGCTCGGCTGCGATGCCGGCAACGTCACCCTCTCCCTCTGGTCTGGTGGCAGGGGTTCTTGCGGCACTACGGCCTCGCACCCGACCCCGATCGGCTGCTCGACGGCGACTTCGTCCAGGCCCTTACGGTGCCTCGCCGCTTGCATTCGGCATCCAGATTTTCCACGCAGAGTCGACACGGCCTCTCTCGTTGTGATCAGACGGCAACACACCAGAGGATAGATTAGCCACGCATGGCCGCGAGGAGTCCCGTTTCGTTTTTTCTCGGAAAGAAAAACCCCGAGGATCGCAGGACCTGCATTTCGGCGCCGCGCCAAGTCCCCTCCTTCCTCACAGCAGCGACCTGCCGCTGCCCGCTCCATCGGGTCGACCCTCCCGCCTCGCTGGCTCACGTGCTGCATGCCCCGCCCCGCCTGGCGGGTGCGCACCAGGCCCTTCCGGCGCCACCCTCCCCGCCGCACCCGATTCGCGGCCTCTTCGGGCTGGCCGCAGCGCGGCGACCTCAGCAATGTCCGGGACTACCCAGAGGCCTTCCCCGGCTTCGGGGCGCCCTGCCGCGCTGGCGGCCGCGGCGTACGCGACATAGACTCGGCCGACTTCGGCGTCTCCACGGATGATGGCGCAGACTGCCGCGCTGCGATCGAGACCACTCAAGGCCGTCGTCCGCCTTGTCATGTTGGCCCCAGGCGACGGCGCTGCCAGCGACCCCACGGCAGGCTTCGCCCTCACCATGGAGACCTGGCCGGAGTCCAGCTCAGACGACCGGGCCCTGCGAGCAATGGCACGGCACCTCCCCTCCGTGATCCCGCCAGGGCCTGCCGACGGGTTTGCGGACCGCTGCCAGATCTGCCGCTTCCTCGAAGGTGCCTGGGTAGCCCGCGGCCCCTCCCAGGGTGCGAAGCGACCGTGGGTTCGATCCCATGCCCCCTACCAGTGCCCCACCTGACGCCGGCGACTGGCAGCCGTCGGTGCCGCCCCAGCACGCAACCGCGTTCGCCACTCTCGAGCTCACCTTACAGACGCGATACACTTTTGCTCTCACCACTCGTGGCGGACCTCATCGAGTTCGGAGGCCTGTGAGAGGCGCGCCGAGATTCAGTGTGGAGCCGCATGCGGACGCTGCCACCAGGGCCTTCGGCGGAGCTCCCCTTGGGGCCACGACACGTGTGAGGGGTGCGCCGAAATGCCGGATGATCGGGTTGGGATGGGGTGATGTGGTAAGTATCGGGGAACAAACAACGGCAGCGGAGTGGATCGTGTTTGGCAATCGCCTCTGCGCCGCCGAGGGCTGGCAATGCGAAGTCGCCGCCGACCCTGGCTCCTACTCCAATCGGCATCTCAGTTTCTTCCTCCTCGACCTCTGGGTCGACTCTGGCTATCCGGCACTCTAGGGGGATACGCCCAACCTAAGCGCTGGCACACCTGGCAGCTTGCCTCTCCGCGTCTCGCCTTCCTGTTTCGTCCCTCCCTCGCATGCTGGGTGGGCAGTCCGCTCGGTCTCCTACCCTTCCCGCCAACCACGCCCAGTTGGCTGCGCATCGCTCCAATGCTATGGCTCCGCGTGGGACGTCCCGCGACGGGCAGCGCCTTTCGCTCCGTCATCCACGCAGGGATGGCTGATGTACTGCTGCCGCGATGGCACGCGGAGGCGGTCCTCGGTGACCCCGCTCGAGGGCCCGACCGCGCGCGTATGCCCCGCTGCTGCACTCACTTCGCCTCGTCGCCCCGCGCGGGCCGCCATACCGCCCAATGTGTGTGTGTGTGTCCGTTGTCTGTGTGCCCTGTCTCCCTAATTCAAGCTGTGCGTAGCCCGCCTAGCTTTTAGCGGAAGTGGTTCGCTCTCGCCCCGCAGATCAAAAGTGTGTCCGTTGTCTGCGCTGTGATTCCGCGTGGGATGCCCTGTGGTGGGCAGAGCTCGCCTCCCCGCCATCCCTTCCCGGATGGCCATGTGCCGCTTCCCTTCCCGAGGTACAGTGCGGTGATCCTAAGGGATCCCGCTCGAAGGCCCGGCCGCGCGCGCCGGCTTCACCGCTTTGACTTACTCCGCCTCGTCGCTGCGCGCGAGGCCGCGACCGCCAAATGTGTGCGTGCGTACGTGCGTGCGTGCGTGCGTGCGTGTGTGCGTTGGCGTGCGTGCGTGTGTGTGTGTGTGTGTGTGTGTTCGCGCAGCGTGTGTTCGCGCGGCCCGCTTAGCTTCGACCGGAAGAGGTGCGCTCTCGACCCGCGAATAAAAACAGTGTGTGTGTGTGTGCTTGCTTGCTTGCTTGCTTGCTTGCTTGCTTGCTCGCTTGCGTGCTTGCTTCTCTCGCTTCCGGATTTGCCCCTGGAGGCCTCTAGGGATCCCGAGGGACCTCCTCGAGCTCGGGCAGGGCCTGGCCCGGACCAGCGGCAGAGACCGACTCCAGGTTCTATTGCGCACTCGGTGAGGTCGCTCTTCGATTCCCGAGTGTTCCACCCAGACTTAAGTCGGGCGTGTCCCCGTACAGGGGGGTTCTCGACGAAAAATAGAAAATTCACCAAACATTTGTTAAAACATATTTCGGCCTTTTGGGGGCATTTTGGGGGTATTTTTTTGTTTTTCGTTGAAAATCCCCCTGTAGGGGGACAGGCCCGACTTAAGCCTAGACTCGTGTCCCTCGTGGGCCACTTCGACAGGACTCCATCTCGCTGCATATTCTCACATGCAAGCTACGGAGAGAGGGGGGAGACAGCAGTACAGATCCGCCTCGTTCTTCCCTTGCCCCCCTTGAGAGGGGGACAGGGGAGGAATGAAGAAGGAGCCAGATCTGCATATGTTCGATTCCACAGAGTCCTCGAAGCGACGGATTGCACTCGAGGGGTTTCGGGAACACAGCTCCCCCAGTTGTGGTCTGTCGGAGACCCAGTCCTGGGCAGAGAGAGAGAGAGAGACTGGGAGAGAGACCGAACGCGCGCAGATTTGTGGGTCGCTTTGATAGCTCTCTTCCGCAGAGTTCCCGCCAAGGGCTCCCACGAGGGCGCGAAGTTATTCGCGCTTCGCGCTTCGCGGTCCTCGTTCCTTCTCCCCCTCCTCTTCGTCCTCCTCTTCTCCCTCTGGGGGGGCGGCGCGAGAGCGCGAAGTTATTCGCGCTTCGCGCTTCGCGGAGCGCGAAGCGCGAAGTTGGGAGCCCACACCACCGCATTGCCTGGCCTGGGCCCTCTTGGCCCCAGGACGGTATATCCAGTCCACTGTCTGGGATGAGGCCCCCATTGGCTTTGAGAGGGGCTCGATGCTCCCTGGGCCCTTCCGCGGGCTCTCCCCTGGCGTTCCTCGTGCGTCCAGGCGCAGCCGAGGCCCCGGAGGGGCTTGGCTCTTCGTCCAGAGTTCTTCTGGCAGAACGTTGGCTGCAGGTCCTCCTGGCCTCGGCCCAGAGTGCGTCGTGCACCACGCCAGGGCCCATGGGATGGGCCCTGGCTAGGCGCGGTGGTGGTGGTGGTCCACATGTGCCCGCCTCTGGCGCGGCCAATCCCCTTCCTTTTATGTAGTTTCTGCTTGTTTTTTCGGGTTCCGTTTTTTATTTGCTGTTGTTCGTTTGTACCTTGTTGTTGTGTTTTGTCTTTGCTGCTGCCGTTGCAGCTGCCGCTGCCGCTGCTGCTTGCCTCTTGCTGCTTGTTTTTGCTTCACCGTTGGTAAGGGTGATGTTGTGCTCTTGTCAGGAGGAAAAAACAGACACACTTACTCGTCGGTTACCCATACCCAGAAAATATGGGAAAATATGGGAAGTGGGGGGGAAGGCAAAAACCCAGAAAATATGGGGAACCTTTTTTTTTGTGTGTATTTTTTTGTGTGTCCTGGGGCCCCTTCATCTTGTTTTGCTGCGTGTTCTTGCTTGCTGCACGTTCCCTTCTCTTCGGGCTGTCCTTCCCTTGGGCCGCCCCGGCGCAAGACGTGCGGGGCCGCCGTGGCCCGGTCACCTCGGACATCGGCGGCTGGGAGCCGCCCTCCTTCCACGAGGCGCTGGCGCGGGAGGCCATCGCAGGTCTTCTGGGGATGGGGGGGGAACCGAATGATAATACTATCCATGATAATGGCAATACGAGTGGTAGTACTATGTTCAATGGAAAAAACATTTGGGGAGGCTTGTCCAAGGGGGTTGTCCGGAGGGGGTGTCCGGGGCTTGTCTGGGCTTGTCCGGGCTTGTCCGGGGCTTGTCCGGGGGGTTGTCCGGGGATCATTTTTTGATAGTTTTTTTCGTTTCATTGAACATAGTAGTGCTGATGCTAAACCAGTCATAATCCCACCACTGATCATAGTGAGCGTGACTGTAGCAACAGCAATACTACGGCTACGACTGCTAGATGGTGAAGATGACGCCTTCGCTATGCTGCCGCAAGCAGCTACGAGCCCTCTTGAGGTGTGGTCCGACTGCTCTGCTGCAGTAGGGTGCGCTACCCGCAGAGCGTGGGCCACTCCGGCTCGGGACCCGCAGAGGCCCCCCTTCGGGGCCGCTCCTTTGCAGCGTTCGATGGTGGCGCGCCTGTCCATCAGACCAAGGCATGGGACCTCCTCCTCCTCCTCCTCCTCCTCCTCCTCCCCTGCCCGCGCGACGGCGGCCGACCTGCAGGCTGGGCGCACCACGGCATGGGAGCGCAAGGCCAATTCGGTGGCGGACAGCCTTTGCAAAGCGGGGGGCCGCCATGCACCCTGACGCCAGCGAAGCCGCGAAGGATTTGGCAGGCTTGGCGCTCTTAGGGGAGGAGTTGGGCCGAGGGGCGGGGATCCAGGGAGTGCTCATGGCGGAGCGGGAGTGGCGTGACGCGGATGGCCTCCCTGAGCGGACGGCTCGGCGAGTTCTCGCCGCCACGCCTCCTGCTCCGTCGCTGTATGTTCGTATCCGCTCGATTTTGTCGCTGCAGGCGGAGGCGCCTGTGGATAGTGAGCTCGCGCTGCTTGTGCAGTTGTTCGCGCGCGAGATTCGCGTAGCTCGCGTCTTCGACGCAGCAGGCGGCCTCGTGCTGGCTGCGCCCAGGCTGCTCTGCTGCACCTCCTGTGGAGCCTTCGCTTGGGGCGCGGCCCGTAACCTTTTGCAGCCGTGCAAGGGTGAGAGGGCTGGGTCGGGTTGCAAGCGGCAGAAGGCGCGGGTGACCCGTGGTCTGTTCCCCCGCTGTCAGAGCCAGTATGCGGGGTGGACGCTTGGCGCCTTGGAGACGCCGTCTGCGTCGGACTTGGCCCGGCTGGCCAACGCTGTGTTGCGCAGGAGTCACCCGGCGCCGCTGGCCTCGCGTGCTGTTTTTCCGGGGGTAGCGTGGCAAGCCGATGCCGTTCGCTCGACCCTGGCGCGTTGTGGTCTCACGCCTTCGAGCCTGGCTCAGTCTGCCGGGGCGGCTTCCTCCAGGCCTGCGATGGAAGCGGAGGAATCGGACCACGGGGCTTGAGTCCATTTCTCGTTTTCAGGGCGTGCTGGCATTGACGGTTGGCCTGCATGGAAAAGAAAGAATGCTGTCGGGTTTTTGGACTTCGGGTGATGGGGGCGAGGGGGAGAGGGGCAGCCAATCTTCTCATACGCCTTCTCGCCCCTGGCAAGCGGGTGTCGGCGGATTCTTTACCCCGATGGTGATGCAGATGTGATTGTCCCAGGCACCCGACGACGTGATTTCACAGCGTGGCTCTCCGGAGGTCTGGACCTCTTCCCAGTGACCAGTCTCTTATCCTGAGTTGTTTCTTTACGGTCACGAAGCCTGGTGAGGGCTCAGGGATGCCGAGAGCTGCCCAAAACCTTTCCTCATGTTTTTAGGGTCACGGCGAGAGGATGTCAAGTGGCTTTCGCCTCCCTGAAGCTCGGATGCAACTCCAGCGAGATTCGATTCAGCATTGGCGCTGGTATATCTGTGGTCGAACACCGGCCTAATCCGGCTTAGCCCCGCTGAGTCCCGCTCAATCCAGCTTAGGCCAGCTTGACTTTGTGCTTAATTTGGCTTGATATCCCTTAAGCGGGCTTGATCGCACCTAATTGTTCTTGCGAAGATCTCCCAGGAGTTGCGTCCGACTCGAAGGTTGGCGCCGGTTCAGGGAGGTGATTATTCCTGGGCTGCCGCAGAAGCACCAGCTGCAGCACATGCTGCGCAAGGGGCACGCGGGTGCCCTGAACGACGCGTTCTTCCATTTCCAGAAGAACCTCTTCGAGAACAGCGGCGACGTGCAGGCGTCACTCGGGATGAGGAGCTCGAGCCGGGGACAATGTTGGGGAGCCCGGACCTCCGACGATGCTCGGTCTTCCCGTCCGGGCGGTTCAAGCATGGATCGGGGGCGAAAACTACCCCGGGGAAGGTGAATGGGCTCAGGTGGGAGCGGAGGGCTCAGGGGGCTCAGCGGACGTCTTCGTCGGTTATTGGAGGTTGTCTAGCCTCGGGATGCGCTCCCGCAGCTGCGCCGCGCCGAAAGGCGTCCAGGGGTGACCAGATCGTCCCGAAGGGCTGCCAGGGACCCGAGAGGTGGTCGACGAGGATCACTCTGGGGCAACGTCGGGGGGGGATGGGCTCAGGGGAAATACCAGGAGGGGAAAAGACACACAGACACAATTAATCGTCGATCCCCAGGAAAATATGGGAAAACATGGGGAGTGGGGGGGAAGACAGAAACCCAGAACATCTGGGAAAATATGGGGAATCGGTTTATTTGTGTGTATATCTATCTGTGTGTCCTTGGGCCCCTTGAAAATACACGGACCCCCAATCGCCCAGCCATCTCCGAGAAGAGGCCCGATGGCACACCCCGCCCAGGAGCGTGCGGTTTCGCCATCGAGGGCCCGGCGCCGGTGCCTCGGCCACAGATGGCCGATTCCAGGTCGACGTCCTCCCGCCCTGAGCTGGTCCACACCTACACGTCACACGTCAGTCGTTGAAACAAGGGCTCCCTCGAGGGCGCGAAGTTATTCGCGCTTCGCGCTTCGCGGTCCTCGTTCCTTCTCCCCCTCCTCCTCGTCCTCCTATTCTCCCTTTGGGAGGGCGGCGCGAGAGCGCGAAGTTATTCGCGCTTCGCGCTTCGCGCAGCGCGAAGCGCGAAGTTGGGAGCCCTTGTTGAAATCAGGCACTGTGGGCTTCCCAGATCCCAGCCCACTTCAAGCGCCTTCCTGCCTCAATCATCGAAGTGCTTCTGCTGTGTTCTGCTATTCTCGGGGGGGGCCTGGACTCGATCGTCTTGATCCGCCTTCCTACTTCATGTTTTTGCCTTCAGTGGGGTCCCATGCCAAGAAACACCCTGCTTGCCGCCAGGGTGCCCTGGGTTTCTTGGGCTTCGACGGCTTTGCGGTGGAAAGCGTGCCGTTCCCACACCGGAAAGCACTGGACGTCCTGGGGTCTCTGTGGGAGGTTTCTTGTGGAGTCTCTGTGGGGTTGGGCTTCCTGTGGGTTTCCTGTGGAGTCTCTGTGGAGTCTCTGTGGGAGGTTTCCCACACTGGAAAGCAATGGACTTCCTGGGGTCTCTGTGGGGTCTCTGTGGGGTTGGGCTTCCCGTGGGAGGTCTCCTGTGGACCGACCTCCCCTGCACCTCTTCCGGCTGACGTGTGCTGGCTGTTTCCCCACGCCAGAGAGGCCCCCTCTCCCGCCTCCGCGGCGCGACCCTCGCGCCGCCGGTGCGGGACTGGGCGGGTCGGAGGAGCGAGAGGGCGTGATGTCAGGAGGGGGAGCGAGCACACAGGCACTTTTTTGACCCGCGGGTCGAGGGCGCACATCTTCCGGTCGAAGCTAGGCGGGCCGCGCGAAGCTTGAATTAACAAAGAGGGGGGGACAGAAGGAGAGCGGCCTCACGGCAAGGCCGGGAGGAGGCAAAGCCCCGGGATCAGGCGGAGCCGAAAACGGCACATAGGCAAACGTGGTCGTCGATCCCCGGGAAAACATGGGAAAATGTGGCAAGTGGGGGGGGGGGAAGACGGAACTTCAGAAAACGTGGGAGCACATGGCGAATCCTGGGTTCAGTGTCTATTTATTTGTATGTCCCTGGGCCCCTTCAATGATGATGATACCTTCCAGGATTTGCAAGATTGCCAGGATGTTTAAGATCTCCTGATGCGCCGCACGGGTGGCAGAAACGAGGGTCGCTGGACACTCTGGAACTCCTGGAAAGTATGCGGAGCCAATCGTATCATGACAGCAGTCTCGCCCTGCTGTGGGGAGGGGGTTCCAGTCCCGACTGCAGAAATCCGCGCGGGAAATGCTCGTGCCTTCTTGTCGTTGCTGCTCCTCCAGAGGAGCGGGAGAATGCAGACGCCGTCTCCAGAGGACAACTCAAGCTGGCCCGAGATGTGCGGCCTTCCTGAGTACAACCGGCTGCGCCACATAGTCGACCGGCTGAGCCGCAGGTATCGGCCGAAGAGGAGGGTACACGCGTGCACTTATCTCGATCAAGCCCATCCTGGTCCTATGATCGGTGTACATACCTCCTTGGCCAAGCCGGGAGGGCGCATGCACCTGTCGTGGGCCTAGGATGGGCCTTGCCAGGATCGGTGTGTGTGTGTGTGACTGTGTGTATATCTGTATATGCACATATGTATTATTGTGTGTTTTCGGCCCCGTGCCGCCAACGTGTGCCGCTTCATGAGGAAGCTGATGCTTAACGCCTCGCGTAGCCCCACCAGACCATCCAGACATGATGCCCATCGGACTTGCCCTGAGCGGGGGAGCGCGGCATCAGTTGGAGATCTCCGGGGCCTGTGTGCGCCAGAGGCCCCTTGGATGTCTTGAGGGCCTTTCAGAGGCGTCTTGGGGCGTCTTAGGGGCCTCTTGTTGGTTCTTGGGGGGATTCTTGGAGCGGCGTGGGTGCCTCTTGGGTGCCTCTTGGGGCCTCTTGGGGGCCGCTTGGGCGCCTCTTCGAGGCTTCTTGGGGGCCTCTTGGGGCTCTCTTGGGAGCTTTTCGGGCCGTCTTGGAGGCCAGCGAGTAACAATGTGTGCGGCGCGGATTTTCTTCGCTCCCCGAGAAGGCCAACATCGGCCCAGAGCCCCTATGAAAATCAATGTTAGCCAGCGTGGGCCCCAGGCAGTGAGGTATTGCACCGTGGAGGTGGAAGCTGTGCTGTGTAAACTACGTGGCGTAAGCTATGTGGTGTAAGCTATGCTGTGGAAGCTATGTGGTGTACGCTATGGTATGTAAGTTATGTGGTGTGAGAGGCGCGATGCAAACTATGCGGTGCAAGCTATGTGGTGTAACTTATGCTGCGCAAGCTACGCAGTGTAAGCTATGCTGTGCACGCCATGTGGTGTACGCTATGCTGTGCACGCCATGTGATGTAAGCTATGTGGTGTGAGCTATGTGATGAATGCTGCGCTGTGCAACCTGTGCGGTGCCAGAAGCTGCATGGTCCCATGGTGTACGCTATGTGGTGCGAGCCACGTGGTATGAGCTGTGCGGTGCACGCCATGTGGTGCAAGCTGTGGTGCGTGCACGAGCCGCCCACGAGTGGGCACGGGCGCCAAGGTGGCGAAACATCGGGACAGGGAGGAGGAGGAGGAGGAGGAGGGAGGAGGAGGAGGAGGAGGAGGAGGAAGGAGGAGGAGGAGGAGGAGGAGGCTGAGGAGAGGAGGGATAGGAAGGAGGAGGAGGAGGGAGGAGAGGACGAGGAGGACGAGGAGCAGTGGCGAGGAGGAGGGGGAGGAAGAGGAGGAGGAGGAGCAGGAGGAGGAGGCCCAGCGCACAGAGCGCCCGCGCGGCGCCCGCGAGAGGGCACGGGCGCCAGCGTTGCGAGTGCTCGGGCAGCGCGCCCGGCGCACTGGGCGCCCGCGCGGCGCCCGCGATCGGGCACGGGCTCCGACGTGTCGAACGCCGGGGGAACCCATCCCATCATGCCAAGAAACATGAGTAAGACCTCGTGAGTTAGGGGGCCACATGCGAATCCTACCCCTACCCCCACGATTTCTGAGGGGGTAGGGGTAGGGTTCGCACGTGGCCCCCCATGAGTGCAAGCGCTGACTGGGGAATGATGGTTGCCTTCTCGCTGTGGCCACCTTGGACGCTCCAGCCTCTAACCCCTTGCGAGACCCCTGTCCAGACCCAAGGGGAGGGGGAAGGGGGATGGGGTCAAGATAACCACAAGCCGCACGCCGTCTCGCCCGCCCTCACAGCACAGAAGTAGCACCCGCATCCGAGAATGGGCAGGGGCCGCAATCGACAACCATCGGGAACCAATGCAGACGCCAGCCAGGTGCGCGACGCCCGCGAGGTGCGCTGCGCGTGCCAGGGCACCCCATCATCCCTGTCAAAATTGCAATGCGACATGATCGCGGGGCGCCCGCGCATGTTCCAATTGTTTGCCGCAGCTTGCGCTTTGCATTGTTTCTTGACAGGGCTGGCGGGGGAATGTTGGCATTGTGCCTGGTTAGTCGTCGGTCGCAAGGGCGAGGGGTGTTTGGTAGTCAGGAACAGAGACTAAGCTTCCCTCCCTAAACATGGTCGTCTCGCTCACTCCTACCCGCCCTCCCACTACATGAATAGCACCCGAGTCTCAGCATGGGCAGCGGCTGCCATCAATGATCGCGCGGCGCCTGCGCAGTTTCGAAGACTGCGCCGCAACGTGCTCTTAGCATTCATTTCTGACGGATGATGGGCCTGCACATGCGGGGCAAATTGATGCCCCCCCCGTGGTTCTTGCCAAAGATAACGTAAAGTGGTTTCGGGGCGTCCGAACATGATCCAGATTATGCCGCGAAGTGCATGATGTATGGTTTGTTGACAGGATGCTGCGGTGGGGGGGGGCCGTCATTGTTCCTGGTTTGACGCCGGTCGGGTGGGGGAGGGTTTTTTCATTGATAAGGAACATCGATAAACCCATCCCCGAAGGGGAAAAAAGAGGGGAGGATGGAAGAGGAAATGCTCCAAGCCACCTCCGCCAGCAGGGCCGGTGGACTCTTCTCGATGGCCGCCCCCGTATTCTGTCGCCCGCTGGCTGGAACTCACCAGCGCGTCGGGGGAAACACGTGAGCATCTTCCACGGTTTGAGGAAACGCAAACACGGGTTAAGGCTCATGATGTTCCAACTTATTTTAGCATGGATCACCAGAAAGAATTTCGAGCACCATGAAAGTACCGAACATTTCGAGGGGTTTCATGTGTCGGGCCCTGGAAGACACTCTCTCGACACTGTTTCCACGCTCTCTCGACACTTTTTTGGGTGCTCGAAAAGATTTCGGGGATGTGGCCCTTAAGCTTGGCATTGCTCGGACGTGTGCATTTTTTCTCGGCGAAAACCATCGAGGACCATCCTGGACCTTCGAGCAAAAAAACACGCACGAAACCGAAAAATGCTAAGGAAATGGACGTCCGAGCGACGGCAAGTCGTGCGCCTTCTCCGAAGACACCGGCGGCTTCTGAGAAGGCCTTGCGAGAAGCTTCCCAAGCCTCCTCCAGATACGCAGGCCTGACCCCTCTCACTTGCCCCGTCGGCGCGCCGCCGAGTCTGGCTTCCTGGGTCATAGCTCGGGTCTCCGGCGGCTGTTCGGGGCCAGCCGGGAAGCCCCAGAGAGTGCTTTTTCGGCGAGGCGCCGCTGCTGGAAAGAGCGCCCCGAGGCTGGAAGAGATCGCCGAGCACCGCAGAACACGCCCGAAAACTCAGGAGGGGAAGAAACACACAGACACAATGAATCGTCGACTCCCCAGAAGATATGGGGAAGTAGGGGAAGTGGGGGGGGGGGAAACAGAAACCCAGAATATATGGGAAGCTATGGGGAGTCTTTTCATTTGTGTGTATTTATTTGTGTGTCCTGGGGCCACTTCAACTGCTGGAAAGCGCCCCGAGGCTGGAAGATCGCCGAACACCGAAGAAACCGCCCGAAGACCTCGAGCTTTGAGCCGCCCTGGGCCTGGCATCGCTCGGACGCGTGCATTTTTTCCTCGGCGAGAACCCTCGGGGACGATCCTGGACCATCGAGCAACAAAACACACGCACGAGACCGAAAAAAACACAGGGAATGGACGTCCGAGCGATGGGGAGTCGGCCGCGCCGCCGAGAGGTACCTGGAGCGCTCCGGGGTGGGCAGGGCGACCGCCGCGGCCCTGAACTACAGCATCTTCAACTGGGCCGCCGTGCACGGCCCTGGCGAGTTCCACGGGCCGCACACCCACGTCGGCGACCGGGGCCGCGCTCGCACCAGTGCGCTCCGCGCCAAGGGGGGGGGTCCTCCTCCTCCTCCTCCTCCTCCTCCTCCTCCTCCTTTTCCTCCTCCTCCTCCTCCTCCGCCGTTGGCCGTGACAAACATCGCGACGGAAGGTTCCTTGCTGGCAGTCTTTGGCCTCCCGGTGCCCTTGCCGGGCTCCAGGACCGTCACAGAGCGGCCCGGGATGAGAATCCGGTCGCGGGAAGGGGTCCAGGTCTTTGGGGGTCGACGCTGTGAGCACGATCGCGACGTCGGGTTCTGGGAGGGTCCATTTTCGATTCGCTCGGTCCAGTTCGATGTCGATTCCGTCCAGGCCGATCTGATTCGGTTCCGCTCTCCCGACGTCCGATGCGGCGCCGATACCTGCAGCGCGCTGTTGTGTGCATCCCGTCGTGGCCGATCCGGTTCGATTCCCACTCCGTGCTGCTGCAGCCCGATCCCCACGCACATTCCGACATTCCGACTCGATCCGCTCTATTTGTTCGATGCTGGCCGTTCCTGGCCAGTCTCCTTTGATCTCTTCCAGCCCACCCAGGCCTCAGGAACCAGGTGTCGGTACGATCGAAGTGAGTACGGAAAGAATGGGTGTGAAGGCCAGAAGCGGTTCTTGTTCATTCTGACCAGGATTCGCAGTCGGTGTCGTCGCGGGCGTTTTCCATTTGAGACAGAAGTCCGCCTGCCCAACAGCGGCCGCTGTCGGTTTTGGACATAACTTGCTGCTGGGCATCATATCAATTTTTTCCTTACCCATTTCTCGGCCACGCACAGGGGGAGCAGGGGGAGGGGGACGGCTTCTTTTAGAGGCACCCTGCTCCATAGAAGGTCGCGGGCCTTGTCCGCAGATATAAGGCTGGTTCCTTCGAAGCAGCAGCCTGTTCTGAGAGACCTTCCCCCCTCCGCCAGATTTCGGGCGTCCAGAGCGCGGAGCCGACCCCCCCCCCTGGCCGCAAAACCACCCGCGGCGGCGCGAAGAGGATCGTTTCCGCGCTCCGCGATCTGGCCCAGAGCCGGCTGCCCTTCTCCAGGGCCCCCCCCCCTTCCCTCCTCCTCTTTGTCCTCCTCCCTCCCTCCCTCCCTCCCTCCCTCCCTCCCTCCCTCCCTCCCTTTAATCCTTCCTCCCTCCCACAAGTCCCGGGGGCCCCCGAGTGGGCCCCCACCCCGTCACCAAGGGGGACCCCTCCCTCAT